CGGCCGTCTCCGGCCTCTCCACCACATCTGCCTGCTGCGTTCGTTGTCGGTGGCGGCCGCTCTCGGATCCGTCGCCAGAAGCCGCGGCACCGCCACCACCGGCGGCGGCCGCCACAGAGGCTGCGGCGCCTTGCGTACCCCCGTCGGGCATGCTCTCTATCCGCGAGGAGCGACGCCTGCTGAGGGGGTTGTCCTGGCGCTCGAGCGGGGCTGTCGCATCTCAGGGTGAGGGCAGAGCATGGGAACGGCGCGGCGGTGGAGATAGCGGTTCAAAGAGTGTGAAAGTGACGTGAAGGTTGTATGTGATGGTGCAGCGGTGGAGCAGGGGAATAGGATGCGTGGTGAGATGGAGAGCGACCCCGCGATGACTACAGGGGCGGGACAAAAGGAAGGGGGGAGGGGACAAGAGAGAAAGGGAGCGGGCGACAGGGGGCTGGGCCACACATACCTTGACGACAATTCACAACATTAGCCATTTGTCGTGCAGAAAATTGGCATGGTTGTCCAATGAGAAATCAAAGCACAAGCGCAAATGCAGTTGTCTATTATGTGGATGCATATACAATAAATAGGACAACAGACGGGTACAAAGCAGGTATAAAGTTTAAGTGGTGGGCGTGTCACTGAACTTCTGTCATTCGAAAGTGGATGGTCCCGGAAGTCCGTCATCGTCAGTCGTCATTATTTCAGGCCGACCTATTGCGTCAGTCTGTAACTACACCATCAGCATTTTTAACGTGCTTCCATCCATCCATTATTTGAAGCACTTTATCCTTAGGAGCAGTGGTCCCCAACCTTTTTTCTCTCACAGACCGGTTTAGACAAGTATACGCTGACAGGCAACCATTTTTTTCATCTCTTCTAAATTTCCAGTTTTAAAGAACTGCCACTGACAACAAAGACAATTACAGAGTAATTTAACATTTTATTAACATTCATTCATTTCAAACACTGTTATTCTACGGCACAACAAATGTAGACTCAAATAAAATAACAGTGAACTACTAAAATGGACCAATCAGGAATAATAACTAGGCCTTATAATATAAACATAATAATTTTTAGGTTGCGATCCTACATACAATGTGAGCATCTTTGCTACTTGCAAATGTGACACAATTGATTGCTGGCAGGCAAACTCTTCTTGCATTTTCATGATTTCCACTTGATCACTTGGATGCTACTTGTTCAAATGATTCAATGGATTTCTTGAATTGCCTTTTTTGTTGACATAGCACGCATAACAGCTTCCTCCTCCACATCGCCAGGGAAGAACTTTACTTGTCGAAATAGCTTCATCTTTGGAAGTCATGACTGCGAATCTCCTGCGCGTTTCAATGTACATTTTGTCAATTTCTGTGCGGCGTGGTCGAAAATTAGGCGAGTTGTGGTACCGATCTGCGGACCGATGGTTGGGGACCACTGCTAATGAGGTCGTGGGCATGCTGGAGCCTATCCCAACTGTCTTCGGTACAGTGTTCAATAAACTTGACATGCATGTTTTTGGAATGTAGGATGAAACCAGAGTACATGGAGAAAACATGCAAACTCCACAAAGGAAGGCCACTGACCGGAATCGAACCCATGAAAAGAAAACATTTTACAAGAGTAACATCATACAATTGCATTCATTTAGAAACAGTTTCGACAACTTTACACACAAAACTATCTATTTATATTTAAAATGCTTCTCCTCCTGCTTCTCATTCCCAAAATGCCAATCATCCGTTTTTTCGGATTCGTAGTGGTACTGGGAATGCCCACAAATCGCTTCTGTCGGAACTTACCCCATCAGTGCTTCAAATTTACTGTCAGTCGTCATTCCACCAATGAAAACGGCAGTCCACCAGTGATGGACTGACAGACCGGTACTAATGGACAGGTGTAAATTCCCACCACTGTAATTGACGCTCATTAAAACGCATTGGGGGTGCTGACAAAAACATTCAATACATGGAAAAGGGGGGAGACCCAACAACCCCCCCCCAAAAAACCCTAATTATTTTAAAAGTTTAGGGGAAAAAATGCATATGCTGAGAAAATTTGGATTGTTAAAACTGGCAGCACAGAACATCCTTGGGGTGAGCAGGATTGTTTGCAGTAATATCTTATTTTACGGACACAATCATTTTATAATATATATATATATATATATATAT